AGTAAAAGGGTCAAAAGAAGGTCATGATGAAGATATCTGAAGATGTGTGTGTAGCAGGGTGACAGAGATGGGAGAGAGTGGATCCAAGGACCCCAAGCGGGACCCCTGAAGAAGAGGCCCATGGCAGCCAGGAGAAGAGAGTACATGGACATGCAGACAAGGGAAGGGGAACTGGACAGGGGCTGAGGAGGGGTCACAACATCAGGAAAAGCTTGTGACACATGTGTTATCACAGAGGAATGGTGCTGAGGGGCTATCGAAGAGAGTGTTGCTCTGGGTCCATCCAGGAAACCCATGAAGCCCTGTGAGCATGCGGGTGGGAGCAGGGTGAGAGGGCACCGGAAGAGGTAGAAGCAAGTGTGAATTGCAAGCTGCCCCAAAGTTCCAGGCCATAGCCTTTTCCCCCTCTTTCATTTTTATTATTTTATTTTCAAATAAGCTTGTTATTTTGTTGTTGCAAGCTGCCATAGAGTTGGCACGTGTCTCATGGAGACCCCATACATAATAGAATTGGACCATTGTGATCCATAGAGTTTTCACTGGCTGCTTTTCAGAAGTATATCACTGACTGAGAGGAAAGGAGTCTTCACATCAAGGATCAATCCCAACCCCACGGTACACAGGGTTGATAGGGACGGGCAACTAAAATGGGGAGCTATAAAGGCACAAAGTGACTGAATTACAAGTTTTCAAAAGGGAGTTTAATTTCAGAGTATGCAAGGGAAGATAGGATCCCTGCTGAATAGTTTTCATTTTGTCTAGAAGTGTCTGGTGAAAGGAGATGGGGATAAGATTCTTATGATTCAATAATGAGTAATTGTTATCATGACTAATTGCAACTGTCAAAACTGTAAAGGTAGAAGCTTAGTAACATAAAGGGGGGAGCAGTTAATCTTACAGTCCAGAAGAGCACGAGCTCTTATCTAGAGAAACAGCGACACCAGAGATGGAGGCAGAGATGAGGACATGGAGAGAGGACCAGCTGAGGATTCGTGTTGTTGTTAAGTTGTTAAGTGCTGTCGAGTCAGTTCTAACCCCTAGTGACCCTGAACAGGGTTTCCGAGGCTGTAAATCTTTACAGGAGCAGAAAGCCTCATCTTTCTCCTGCGGAGCAGCTGGTAGTTTCGAACTGCTGACCTTGAGGTTCGCAGCCCTATTCGTAACCACTATGCTACCAGAGCTGAGGACTCTAGACTCATGGAAAGAGAAAGGCTGTGTGCCAGTGGCCAGGAGGCAGGCTTGCAGAATGTGCCCTTTGGTTGTTTAAATGATTATATATTCCTGAGTGTTTTGGTATAAACCATCTCCACCCCCCACCCCCCTGACAAAAAACAGAGGGAATATAAGCAAATACTTTTGAATGATGATGCACTGAGGGGACTGTAATCATTGCAATGAAATGAAATACAATAGGATGAGTGTACAGCTGATGTTCTCCCATGTAAACCATCACTCAAGCCACAATAAAAACTTAAAGAAAAGTGTATCAAACCAAGCCTTTCTCTCTACTCCATCCTATTCTGGAAGCTTCCCTGAAGTGGGTTCAGTATCGTGACAATATGCAAGTTCACTGACTGGAACATGGGTGGGGGCTGTAGTTGAGGAGCACAGGCAGGAATGGAACTTTGGTCTCACACATGGAAGGTGAAGACTCAAATAGTGAGCCACTGCTTCTCTCGAAATATGCTTTAGGCTTACGGACAAGTGGTACAAAATATGAGTACAAAATGTTTCCAGGCCATATTCTGACCCTTCATTCTGCCTTCATAAAGCAAAACTCTCAGGCTGTCTCCCAAGCTTATCACTTCTCAACTTGAGAACAAAACTGAATATTCACAAAAAGCCTCACTCCTTCCTGCTGACAACAAAACACTACTGTTGTCATTGCATTCACGGCCCTTTATGGTCGTGGTCCACCTGTACTGTCGTGTTTCTTCACCACAGTGCCCCCCTACACCTGCCGTGTATAATCTCTTTCCCCTTAAGACTCTGATTCCATGGATGGAAGGACCCGGGCTTCAGTCCTTAGTGATGTTTAATCTATTGTGGGGTCTGGTAAGAGTTCTGGTGGTGCAGTGGGTTAAACTGCCAGGAGTTCACACCTACCCAGTCACTCCTCTGGAGAAGGATGAGGCTGTCTGCTCTTGCAAAGATTACTCTCAGCAACCCCGTGGAGCAGTCCTACTGTGTTTTCTAGGATCGCTGAGCTGAAATTGACCCCATGTCAGCGAGTTGACTTTGGGCAGTGTCTGGCAAACAGACATGAACAAGCAGGCTCAGTGAGAGGGGCATCAGGGCTATCATCCTGGGTCACAGCAGGCCAAGGCCCCTAGAGGTTGAACTCCTCTAGGATGGGAGACACTAAAGAGAAACTTCAGCCACCATTACGAAGCTGAACTCATCACCAAGAGCCTCTGCCCATCCCCTTCTCTTCCAAAGACATGGAACAACCCACTCTGCCAATGAGAAAAACAGTGGAGTGGAGACCAGAAGGTGATGGGGCTAGGGAACCACTCCAATTTTTCCGGTCTCCTGGAGTCATCCTGTGGGGAGTTCTGTGTCATCCCCTTAAGACTCCACATACTTCTTTTATCCTGTCCATCTTATGAACCCCAATCTTTTGTTTGAAAGGGACTCACTCAGAAGGTGGGAGTCCTGTTCTGGTCACTGAGGGTTTAGGAAGTGAAAGTCTTGATTCTGGTGGTGACACAGGGGCACAAAGACTAACTTAACTTCCTGTCCTGCTTTGCCACTGAAGGCCTGGGCTGCTGCCAGCTGGGAAGATGCAAGGCCGCCCCCCAGTGGTCGTATGTCTTAACTGCAGCTCAGTAAGACGGTCTCCACCTTCAAAGATCCTCCTGGCAAAGGGGTGAGGGCCCTGGGCACCATTGATGGGTGAGGACAGATGGCCACCATTGCCCTGGTCCTGAAGGCATCATGCCCTGGCAATACATAAGCAAAGGAGCATCAAAGTGTCTCTCTCTCACACACAGACATACACCTTTTCTTCTGATTTTAGAAATAAACATACATATTCAGGGAGGTTAAATAACCCACTCAAGACTATGTATCAACTCACAGAGACCCTGTATAGGATTTCCGAGGAGCGGTTTGACCTGCTTACCTTGCAATTCAAACCAACCTTGCAGTCCAGTACCTTAACCCATAGCACCATCTATACCTTCTGATGTTAAGTTTCAACCTCAGTAAGACAACTGGGCTTAGCCATGATTCTTAGTCCCACTGCACATCAGAATTACCCTGGGAGCTTTAAAAATATATACATATCCCTGACCCAGACCAACAGAAGAATTCTGGGGGGTGGGGTGGTAATGTCCTTTCAGCCTGCTTCCCCAGCATAACAAGGTGCATCTCCAGACTGACAGCTGGAAGCTGGACGGTCAACTCCTAATTCATTTTGGAATCCCCAGGACTGACCCATCGACAGCGTTCTGTGCAGATTTGTGAAGTGAAACAACGTGTGAATTACTGGAAGAATCCAGCTTTGACAGCCTATGGCTGAGTCCCACATGCATACACAGAATGCTCTACACGCAGGCACACAGACACATCTGAGCACACACAGACACCCATATGCACACTGGGACAAAAGAGGAAGCAGCCCAGCACACTCCAAAAGGACCCAACAACCCCAAAATGCCCGGCCCTCCCATCCTCACATACTTGCACACACTTCTTTGTTGGCCTGCATTTATTGCGCACCCATTGGGTGCATGGCCCAGCCAGAGACCCTGCATGGCCCCCAGAGGCAGTCTCCAACTGAGGGACTTGTAACAAGCATTGGAAAGGAGGAGGTTGGCCCAGTAGGAAGGCTGGAGAGGCAGGGCGTCAGGCTGCCTGGCTGCACACTTGGCTGAACAGAGACAATGGTGGCTGCTCCCTCCAGCCCAGCCTTCTTCCCACAGGCAGAGTGTCTCGGGTCCTTGAGTCTCCAGAACCTCCCCCCAGAGAACAGGCCCAGCTGGGAGACAGCCAGAGGGCAGTGCCCTGGGACTGCTCAGGGGAGGGCAGCTAAGTCCCCTGTGAACTGGCTGGAAAGCACAAGGGGCACAGATTGTGGTGCGTGCAACCAGGGCATGGAGGTGTTGTCTCTGATCTACAGAGGTACCCACACCTGGGCCTCCCCAGCTGCCACCTCACATTCCTCACAAATCTTCTCAGCTGTAGCTCCAGCCTGGGAGAACCCTTACACTACCCACAATTGTTACCACCCTCCCAAGAGGTATGAACCTGGAGAACCTCCTTCCCTGCTCTCAGAAACAAAGGTCCTTTGTTCCCAGGGCCCAGGGCTCTCCACAGAGCTCTCAGCTCTGCTCTGTTGACTAGCAATTGGGAGCATGAGGCCAGGTCCACTCTCATATATATGTCCAGGGTTCATGGATGATGGTGAGGGAAAGAAGCCAGAAGGAGACAAAGACACAAGTGCCCAGAATCAGCCTCCCAGAGCCTTAGAGCTCGCTGAATTCTCTGCTCCTACCCAGAAGGCTGCTTTCTTGGTGAGAATGGATTAGTCGGTATCTTCTGGAAGTCCTCTCTCCTGAGGCCTTCCCTAGCAGGAATCCTCATTCCTAAAGCAAGGCCATCCTCAGGACATCTGTCTCCCTAGTTTGATTTCCCAGAGGCTCTGCAGCCTTGCAATTTCCCAGAAGCTCTGGGTCCTGCCTAAGGAAGGAAAGTTGGGGGGCGGGGGGTAAGACAAGGAGACTTTGGGAAGTGGTGCCAAGTTCTCAACCTCCCTGAGCAGACCAGGGCCTGGGGCAGCTGAGGGGCTGCACTAGGGGAGAGGGTCCAGCAGCATTAGGAAAGCTCCAGTGAGTGCAGGAATGAGGACCATCGAAAAACAAGGGGCTGTCCCTCCACAGGGAGCCCGAGGACATGGGTTCCCACTGAGTTGGGAACCTGTCCCTTGTTAAGAACTCAGATTTCACCTCAAGTCTACCCCAGAGCAGGGACCAACATTTGAGGTGCTGATGTCGGCTTCACAGCTGATTGCGATTCCGCTTGGGGATGATCTTTCGGTAGGTTCTGCGCTCTGAGATGTTTCTTTTCACCTTGGCTGTGGTGGGAGCCTCGTCCTGGTGCAGGGATGGGCTCGAGTGGGACTTCTTCAGGCTGGGCTTGGACTCCCGTGGGCCTCCAGTTTCCTTTCCCAGCTGCTCCTCCCACGGATCCAGGTCCTCGGTGGGGCAGTGCAGACGGGCCACCAGCAGCTGCACATAGGTCTCGTAGCGGGTTTTCTGCAACACACAGGCCTCACCCCTTAGCACCCTCCAGTCTCTAGGCAAGGAGGAAGCTGGATTTGTGAGAGTTCGCTCACATCTGTATGAGGCTTGGGTTAACGCCCTTTGCAGAAGGCTGGAACAATAGCTAGTGGTGTTGGAATAACTAGACTTTGCCGACCACAAGGGTAACCAATTAAAACACTGCAATGATACGTAAGGCACTCAGCTTTGTCCTAATCGCCAATACTCTATAGTGCTGTAACTAATATCTCTAGACCATGAAGCATCTCTGAGACACTGTACCTAAGATCTGTGCAGTACTACACATAGACTGCCCTTGGCTGTACTGAACTCTAATTGAGTCTGAAGAGCGTTTGAATAATTAGCATCTGGAGAATGTGATGCCAACTACCCTCGTCTGTTTAAGATTGCTATGGCATCTGGGCAGGATGTTAGTAACTAACTAGCAGCCTTCGGGTACAGTCCCCAGTTTACAAAGTGCTTTCCCACCCGGCGTCCCACTGGGTACTCATCGCAGCTCCATGAGGTTGGCTGGGGCAGGCATCACTGTACCTCTTTGAAGACGACAAATGAGGCATAGGGAGGGTAACAGGCTTGCTAAGTGTTACTGGTCAGTGCGGTGGAAGGTTGCAATTCTGAAAGCAGATTCAGGTCTTTTTGACCACATTTCTAGGCCCCTGGGAAGTGGCCTAGAAGTAGTCAACCAAGAACTCAAATGAAGAGGCAAGGAGATTCAAGGCAGGCCAAGAAAGGTAGGAGGGGGCCATGAGACAGCTGAGCTGACGGCTGGGCTGCCTCCCAGGTCTCTGCCTCTGATCTTCTCAGTCTTCAGTCTGTACCCACCTACCCCACCTGCCCAATGGGCCCCACCCTAAGCAAATGATACCCAGGACCCCTGAAGCAAGCACTTAGTCATAAAACAACTAAATGCATGCTTGCAAGAGGCTGAACCCCAAATCCGGTGTGGAGCCTCTCCTAGAGATGCTAAGACCCTTAGTACACACATAATGGAAGCAGCATGGGCATTTATCAGGCTTGGAAGGGTTGACAGTGTGTAAGTTCAATTCCAGGTTCCTCTCCACTGTGTGGTCTTGGACAAGCTGAGTCATCGCTCCATGCCTCAGTTTCCTCATCTGTAACCTAAGGATCCTAGCGCCTCCCCCAGATTTGTTAGAGAATTAAATAAAATAATCTAGGTAATGTGCCTATGTTATCGTTGAGCCGTTGAGTCGATTTTGGACTCATCGCAACCCCAGAGTAGAATTGTCCACAGTGTCCTGGGTCCTTCTCCCACAGAGGATGTAGCAAGTTCACCAAGTTTTCCCTTAGCAGCCAGACAAGTGCTTAACCACTGTACCAATAGGATTTCAATGATGTGAAGTACCATCGAATAGGTTCTGACTCATAGTGATCCCTGCAAAGGGTTTCCGAGGAGTGCTTGGTGGGTTTGAACAGCTGACCTTATAGTTAGCAGTCCATTACTGACCCTACATTGCCACACCAGAACTCCCAATGTGTTTATACTGTCTGTGATTATTATTAGAATTCAGAGTATGATTATTCTATTATTAAGAATGTTGTTATGTGAGTAATTATGTAAGAATTCAGAAAAAACGTAATGTTTGTCTTTCAATTTAGGATCAATGAAAAGTTAAATACTTCTTGTCGTGAAATGCTGACTGGTCAGTTATGACTCACAGTTGCTAGTGGGTTTGAACCACCAACCTTGCAATTAGCAGTCCAGTGCTTATTTTACAGCAGCACAATAGGACTCAAACTTTGGAGGTGGTAGTTGTGTGTCGCTGAATTGGTTCCGACTTATAGTGACCCTGTGTAGGGTTTTCCACGATATAAATCTTTATGGGAGCAGAACGCCTCATCTTTCCTTCGCAGAACAGCTGGTAGATTTGAGCAGGCCAACTCCCTCATCCACTATGGTACCAGGGGTCTTCAAATAAACCTTGGTGGTGGTCGTCGTGATTACGTGCTGCGGAGTCGGTTTCCACTCATAGTGACCCTCCATAGGGTTTCTAAGACTGTAAATCTTTACGGGAGCAGAAAGCTTCATCTTTCTCCCCCGGAGCGGCTCACCTTTTGGTTAGCAGCCCAGCTTGTAATCCATTACATTAGCAGGGCTCCTCAAAGAAACTTTAGAAAATAAATAATACAAATAATTTGTCCCTTCTGTTTCCACACAAACAGCTGCATTGTGTCCCAGGACAAAATGTGAAAGGGTCGAGTGCACACGGATACATACGTTTGTGCACACACCTGTGTGGGCATACGCCTGTATGAGACAACCCATACAGGTCCCACGTTATCAAATAAGCACCTCTACCCCATACCCGCGTATTGCGCAGAGGGGAGTGAAGGCTGCAGGGACGGGCACGACCACGAGAGGGCAGCAGAGGGTTAAGCCAAGTGGGCAGGAGAGGCCAGGGCGGGGAGTAGAGACTCAGGTGCTCACCTCATACTCCAGATACTCCTTCCGCAAGCGGTACTCCTCCAGCTCGCGGCCGCGGCCCCGCCGCTCCGGTAAGTTTCTCTGCAGATCCAGCAGGTCGTCTGCGGCGGCATCCATGCAGTTCTCGTGGGATCGATGCTGCTCTTCCTGGGAACGACAGGCGGTGGGACAATCTGTGCTAAGGGCTTTGGCGTGGCACCCCGTTCGCACAGCTTGTTCCCAGGCCCAGGTCTGTAAACCCCCTCCCCTATTTCCGCAACCCGCCCTTTCCTAAGTCCAAGCGTGCAAACCTCCCGGCCCGGCCCCGCCCGGCCGCCACCCCTCCCTGAAAATGGTACCAGGGAGCTCTGGGCCGGGCCAATCGGGAGAATGGGCCGCACGAATCGACGCTGGGAGCCCACGGCAGCGGGGAAGGGCGGCGCCGAGTGCGTGGCGGCGGCTAGGTTGATGCGGGCGATCCAGGAACTCATCTCCTTGGCAGTGCTAGCGGGGAAGAGGTGGTCAGTTCCCTGGGGCCCCAGAGGTAGTGCTGTCAGCGGCCACCCCTTCCCCCAGCTTCCTGTGGTCTACACAGCCATTCAGGCTCTCAGGGTACAGCCCAGCTCAGAACTTGAAGAAGCCAGAAGCTCGGTCACAGGCAGGGTGGTTAAGCTAAGCAGGTTTCTCTCATATGTTAACCAAGAAAATGAGGGAAGGCAGTGTTTTTTATCAGGTGCCATAAAACAGTCAGTTATTAGTGACTTTCTTTATTCCTAACTGTGAGGCTTAATCTGGGTTTAAAAGGAAAAGGTTGGTCCATTGGCAAAGTTGAGCAAAGGCAGAGGAGAGGGGTAGGGAGAAGAGAGGGGCAGGGAGAGGAGAGGAGCTTATGTGTCATCCCTACAACCTCTTCAAGGAATCCCTTACAACAGCTCTGTGGCTAACCACACAGTCAGAAGTTTGTATCCACCCAAAGGCATCTCAGAAGATCTTCTGGAAAACTCTATGGCACAGAGTTCTACTCTGACACATATGTGGGGTCACTATGAGATGATCTGTCAGGCTACATCTGTCAGTTCATCATACTATGGTGACTTGTGACGGTTGTGATGCCGGAAGCTATGCCACTAGTATTTCAAATGCCAACAGGGTCACCCATGGTAGGGTTATTACTGAAGATACTAGTGAAAATCAAGGCTCCAGGAATTGATGGAATACCAACTGAAATGTTTCAACAGATGGAGGCAGTCCTGGAAGCACTTGCTAGTCAATGCCAAGAACGAAGGAGACAGCAACCTGGCCATCCAAATGGAAAGATCCACATTTATACATTCCAAAGAAAGTTGAACCAACAGAATGTGGAAATTCTTGAGCAATCTCATATCACATGCAAGTAAAATTTTCTAGAAGATGATTGAAAAATGTCAGCAGTACATTGGAAGGGAGCTGCCAGAAATTCAAGTGGGATTCAAAAGAGGATGTAGAACAAAGGACATCATTGCCAACGTCAGATGGATCTCGGCTGATAGCAGCAAATACCAGAAAGATGTTTACTTGTGTTTTATTGACTACATAAAGGTATTTGACTGTGTGGATCATAACAAACTATGCACAACATTGCAAAGAATGGGAATTCCAGAGCACATAATGTGTTCATGCAGAACCTGTACATAGAACAAGATGCAATCATTTGAACAGATCAAGGGGATATTTCATGGTTTTAAATCAGGAAAGGTGTGCACTAGGGTTGTATCCTTTCAGCATATTCATTTAATTAGTATGCTGAGCATACAATCCAGGAACCTGGACTATATCAATAATTACTTAGTGTGGCACTATAGTATAAAGCACTGGACCGCAAAGTTGGTTTGAACCATAAAGTAGGTGGTTCAAACTCACCAGCTGGTTGCTATGAGTCAGAACCAACTCAAAGCACTAAACAACAAGAACAAGGATTGGAGGAAGGCATATTAACATGTGATATGCAGATGAGTCCTGGTGTGACGCTGTGGGTTAATGCACCAGGCTGCAAAGCCATTTGAACTGCAAGGGTGGCGGTTCAAGCTCACCATCTGTTTCTCGGAAACCCTACACAGGGTCGCTATGGGTTGGAACTGACTTGACAGCAGTTAACAACAACAGATGACATAACCCTGCTTGCTACTTGCTGAAAGTGAAGAGGACTTGGAAGATCAAAGACTATAGCCTAAATTCAGTATGGATTGTTGTTAAGTGCCATTGAGTTGGTTCTGACTCATAGTGACCCTGTGTAGGGTTTGACTCATAGTGACCCTGTGTAGGGAGCAGCTGGTAGGTTTGAACCACCAACCCTGTGATTAGAAGTCCAGTGCTTATCCTACAGTGCCACATCAAGACTCCTCAGTATAGATTACACCTCAACATAAAGAAAACAAAAATTCTCATAACTGGGCCAATAAGTAGTATCACGATCAACAGAAAAAACTGATGTTGCCAAGGATTTTGTTTTACTTGGATTTTCAATCAGCACCCATGAAAGCAACAGTCATGAAAGCAAACATTGCATGGCACTGGAGAAATCTGTTGCAAACAGTGTCTTTGAAGTGCTGAAGAAAGCAAAGATGTTACTTTGAGGACTAAGGTACACTTGACTTAAGCCAGGGTATTTTCAATCACCTCATACGCATTGAAAACTAGACAATAAGGAAGGAAGAATGAGGAGTTGCTGTCTTCGAATTATGGTTTTGGTGAAGAATATTAAATATACTATGACCTGCCAAACAAATCTGTCTTGGAAGGAGTACAGCCAGAATGCTCCTTGGGAGACAGGATGGTGAGACCTCGTCTCACATGCTGTGGACCTAGCAGGAGCGACCAGTCACTGGAGAAGGACATCATGCTTGGTAAAATAGAGGGTCAGCAAAAAAGAGGAAGGCCTTCAATGAGTTGGATGAACTTAGTGGCTACAACAATACGCTCAGATATAACAATTGTGAGGACCGTGTAGGACTGGGTGGTGTTTCTTTCTGCTAGGCATAGGATGGCTGTGAGTTGGAACTGACTCCGTGGCACCTAACAACATGACTTGAAATCGATTCTCCCCAACTGGTATTAGCTACGGCATTCTAAGGTATTCTTGATAAAGAAAGTGATTCCTACCATAGCCAGCGTAAGCAGGCATCAAAGATGACAAGTGTGAGTAGGTGAGCACAGAGGACCTGAGCCCTTAATTACTTGACTCCCACCCTAGCGACTTACGGTGCCTGGAAGAGGTAGAGGCGCCAGTCAGCGGTACGCAGCTGGAAGACATGTGGCTTCTTGGTGTAATGCGCAGCAGGGGTCGCCAGTGAATGATGCACCCCCACGGGCTCGTCCACCATCTGTCCTACCAGACTCTCCCCGTCAGAACAGTGGTCCTCTCCCTGCCATAATGAACAGGGGCTCAAAAGAGGTAATCAGTTGCCCACCCTCTGTAGGCAGCCCTTCCCTATTCCTGACTGCCCAGCTGGGGTCCTGGTGTGGTGGTCTAAGAAAATGCACTGGACCGAAAGGTAGGTTTGAACTGCAAGGTTGGTGGTTCAAGCTCACCAGCCAGTCCTTGGAAACCCTATATGGGGTTGCTATAAGTCGGAACTGACTTGACAGCATGTAACCACAACAGCAATAATTCCCTTCCTACCTTCAGGAAGTAGAGTACCATTCCTCGAAGTAAGGTGTGGAACATCTTCCAGCCGCGCTTGCCCCAGGGTGCTGTTCCAGGCACAGAAGACAAAGTAGAATGACCACAGTCCCATTCAAACACAGTCTCCCACTCTCAGACATGTGCAAATAGTCCCCAAGCCTCCTGTCCCTCTCCAGGATGCAGCCCATCCGCATTCATACACATATAAACCCCTCAACTCAACTTCATACAATCGCATACGTACACTGTGTCTCTATACACAGGGAATGGCGCTGGGGAACAATAGACAGGAACTCTTCATGTACAAATGCAGATGCTCACACAGACCACCCCTCTCCAAACACACAGCCACAAGTCCACATGCAAACATCATCCACAGGCACACTTCCACCCAGACATCTTTATGGTCCCTCCCTGTGTACCCATCCAGAGGGGCTTCCTGAGGGTAGGTATCCATCCCTGTGGGCCTCACCCTGGGAATCAAGTGCTGGTCTCCCCTGCACCTACCTTCTCTGTACTGCCCTACACCCTGGTTTTGTCTGGGGAGACCCATTCCTGCTCCTGACCCCTAAGCTCTGTTGCCAGGCCTGGCTACTGTTCCCATAGCTTCTAGAAGTTGACTGATAATCCCCTTCCTAGTGGTCACATCCCCATTCGGTCTATTTTAGCCATGATTCCAGATTAATCAGCCTAGAACACTGCTCTGGTCCTGTTGCTGCTCCAATCAAAAGCCTTCAGCAGCCTGTGGAAAGAGGCCCAAACGCAGACCCATATGCATCTCTCCACAGTCTCTTTGACACACCCCATGTTTGGAGCAAACCCTGTGCTCTGTAGGGGGTGCTCAAACGTCCACACCCTTATATCCTCTAAGACTCAACTCAGACACCATCATTTCCCTTAAGACTACCTTACCCCTACCCGACCCACATTCCACCCCAAAACCAAAACCTTTCATTCCTCCAAACCCCATGCTTGATCTATCCTCCTTTACCACTCACCTCTTTCTACCTTAGGAGCTCTGGTAGTGTAGTGCTTACGAATTGGGCTGCTAACCTCAAGGTCAGCGCTTTGAAACTACCAGCTGTAATGAAAGATGAGGCTTTCTGCTCCCGTAAAGATTGACAGCCTGGGAAACCCTGTACAGGGTCATTGTGCGTCGGAATCGACTCCACGGCACACAGCCACCACCACCTTTCTACCTTGTGTTGCAGATGGTGATGTCCTCATCTAGTTTTCTGCTGTGCCATGGGCTCACCGAGTGCAGGGAGTAATGGGTCTGTTTTATCTCTGCTCTCCCTCCCTCCTCCCAATGCCTGGCACCACATCTGGCTCACATTCAGCATGTGGTACATGCTGAGGAAGGAACACACGCTGCCTGTCTTCGACATGCACCGTCTCTCTCTCTCTGTACATCCTGTGCACTCGCCAGCTCTGCCCATCTGCACACAGACATATCCACATGGCCCCAGGACAGCACACACTCACTCTTCTTGCCATCTGCATCATGATGCATCTTCCGGGCCAGGATGCCCTGCTTATAGGTGGGCACAGTGGGGTCCTGGGATAGCTGGAGGAAAGGGCTGCTGAGCTTGCCAACAGGGGGAGATGGCTTGGCCTTCTCAGGTCTGGCTGCATCTTCTTCATCCCTGGACATGAGAGCAGGAGGTGCTGTTTTCTCTTAGGCCCTCAGTACCTCCTTTTTTGTTGGTGATCCAGGACCCATGACCCCCAGCACCCAGCACCCCAGAAGTCATTTCTACAAGCAAACCCATCAATTTCCTGACTCACAATTATACTCACCCCCCTTGCTACCTTTGAATCCTCAGTTTCTCCACCCTTCTCTGAGATAGGACTAGCATCTTTCCCCCATCCCTTCACCACTCAGCTGGAAGCGGTGTCCAAGACCCTGAACTTCTTCTCCCAGGTGGATAGGTGGTGCGAAGGAGACCCCAAAACAGCCCTGGAGGGTACAAGGACAGGGCTCTCACTTACACGGCCCACTCGAGCTTCTCACTTCGGATTGACCAGTAGAGGGCCTGGAACAGAAACACACAGTGAACAGGTGAGCCTTGGAGCTGGTCATGCTCTCTGGTGGGCAGATGTAGAATGGGGGCATGCCTGCAGCTTGCTTTCTCTAGTCCCCTCCGCCCACTAAACGTAGCTGCCTTTTTGCCTTGAACCAGGTAAGCAGCTCATTCATCCATGGTGGTGGTGATTATGTGCTGTGGAGTCAGTTCCAATTCACAGTAACCCTGTATAACAGTGAACCTGTACAGGGTTTCCGAGGCTATATATCTTTACAGGAGCAGAAATCTCCATCTTCCTTGTGCAGAACAGCTGGTAGTTCTGAACTGCTGACCTTGAGGTTGGCAGCCCGATTCATAACCACTATAGTACGAGAGCCCCTTCACTCATCCATGCACCAGATTATTTATAGGACACTTGCCATGTGCAAAGGAACACTGGTGGTGCTGTGGGTTAGGCACTGGGCTGCTAAGTAAAAGGTGAGCAGTTCAAACATACCAGCAACTCCTCCAGAGAATGATGAGGCTGTCTGCCCCCATAATTTCAGAATTAGTTTCTGAAACCTTGTACCAAGTTGATGGGAGTTGGAATCAACTCAGTGGGAGTGGGTAGGTACTAGTGCCAGGCACTGGGCTGGGTGCTGGGCACATCAATATGATCAGGACAACCCTAATTCCTACTTGATCTAAGTGAGGCCTGAGCTACAGTTAGTCCCCAGCTTACAACATATTCAAATAACAATGAGCCATACTTCTGACTGTCCTTTCTCTGCATAATTTACTTCCACTCATGTTGTCATTCTCAGACGTTCTTTCACTAACGTGCAGTTTCATGATTTACTGTTCAGAACACTGCAGATTTAGTTTCTCCACTAAAGCAGGGGCTCCAGTTGCCTGAAAGCATGGCTCCAAACGCAGATGGCTTTGATTCAGGAAGTAGTGAGGTGTTACTGAAACTATATAAAGATAAGGGCCATGCAGACAAGTCTCAACGACAGTCTGACTAGAAACATCATCCCCAGGGATAATCAAATGATCCAGAACCTTCCACAAGTAGAGTTATTGCTGCAACAGACAAAACGCCAGTCTCGTCCACCTTCTCTTCATCGTTAAAGTAGGTTTTGATAATGTGTGCATTTTTTAATGTATGTAGGTCTGCATTAAAATATATCTGCACATTGACATGCAGTGCTTTCAACCCCCAAAGTCAAACAGTGATCAGATTTAGAAAGATAATGATCATAAAAGGCAATTAAAAGAGAAAAAAAAAGTTGAAGTATTTTACTGACATCAGAGCCTACTATAATGGAGTCGTGGGACAGAACCCAGTCCTAAGTTGCGGACTACCTGTATTTACCTTAAAGGGGAAATGAATCACCCACATAGCATGCTGCCTTCAAGGACCTGACAGATCCAGGAACTGGCTCACCAGCCGCAGCAATAGCTGTGCCCGGAATACAGGATGGATGGATGGCGTGCTACAGATAACTCTGAAGTCATGAGTATTAACGCAGATGTACATTGATTGTTCTTGTCAGGGCTTTGAACCGGTTTGTTCGGGTCCAACCCCCTGCCAGAACTTTGCATTTCCACCTCAAATCTACTGAATGTGAATCTATGCCAACATCCGGTTCAGTGGATCTAGGGTAGAAAGGTAAATTCTCAGCAGGGGGTCAAACCAAAATGAACCGATTTGAAGCTCTGGTTTTGGGGGCTTTTGCAGCACCCAGCAAGGTGCTTATTACAAAGTAACTGTTTAATAAGCGTTCCCTGGTTGGTGCAAATGGTTTACATACTCAACTTCTAATCAAAAGGTTGGGGATTTGAGTTTACTCAAAGGCACTTCAGAAGGCTTAGTGATCTGCTTCTGCCCAGTCAGCCACCGAAACGCTATGGGATGCAATTCTACTTGGACACACATGGGGGCGCCAGGAGTCAGCATCAACTCAAAGGCAACTAACTGGTTTGGTTTGTTTTTTAAATGGCTTATCAAGAGCATGCTGTGTTCAAGACACAGTGCTAAGCATTTGGCAAACTCTTTCATCTTATTAGCAACATGGTGAAATGGTTATGACCACCATGAAGAACAGGAGATGGCCATGCGGTAAGTGTTCAAGACAAGAATTCAACCCCAAAAATGCTAAGTAAGATCTCAAGTCTGAACTCTAGACTCGCTCCACTTGAAGATTTGTCCTTTGTTTACTCAGAAAACCAATAAGCCAGCACTTCTCAGACTTTGGCAAACCTAAAAACGAACCTGTTTGAAGCCTGGTTTTTGTGGTCTTCATAGTACTTGTAAGTCAGTTGTGATGTAAGTACAATACTTCAGCTTTTTTAAATTATTATTATTATTATTGCCTGATGTGGTGCTGTAGGATAAGCACTTGGCTGCTAACCACAAGGTTGGCAGCTCATACCCAACAGCACTCCGTGGAAACCCTATACAGGATCGCTAAGAGTTGGAAGCTACTTGAGGGTACTTAACAACAAGAATCACTTCAAGTGGATCCAGGGCCCCACCCCCATAGATTCTGATCCAGTAGGTCCAAGAATATGCAGTGCTAGAAAATTCCATGGAGTGGCTGCTGCTGCTAATTAGAGATCAGTCTTAGTAGCCCTTCAATAAAGTCAAAATACCTCATGTGCATCTACCATCTGTCAGTGGTTTGAATGTTGTAATTAATATTCAGCAAAGCTTCCGGAGTAGGACAGACTATGAAGAAAGATCTACTGATCTATTTCCAAAAACTAGCCAATGAAAACGTTATAGACCACAACAGTATAATTCTCAACCAATCTTGGGGTCAGCACAGAGCTAGGTAGCACTTCATTCCACTGTGCACCGGGTCACCATGGGTCGGGGGGCCGGTTCCATAGTAGCTAACAGCAGCAGCAGCATTGTCCCCAGGACATTTCGGCAGAGCCAGGCTAGAACTCAGCATTCCCCAACAGGAAGCCTAGGGGGTCTGTGCCCCGCCATACCTTCAGCAGCTCCTTGGGGAAGTTCCCACCATTATGCAGGCCATTCAAGTTGGTGATGAATTCCTGGCAGCTCATGCTTTTCCCAATGTTCTGTGGCCATGGAAAGAAGGGGCAGTTGCCACACACCCCCCACTTCAACTATATAAGCCCCCCAGCCCCTCAGAAGCCTTTACCTATTCCCCATGCCCACACCCCAATCTGGACCCTTCCCTGATCCCCTTTCAAGCGTATGTTCTTTTCTTCCCCTTCCACTTCCCCTTCCCCATGGATTCTCAACTCATCTCCTACAGCAACCCCTGAATATTCCCTGCTGCCACTATCACCACAGAACCCCTGCCTCAGCTCCCACCAGCACTCTTCCCACCCTCTTACCTGTCCGTGCAAGTCCGTGTTAAGGAGCATGATGGCACAGGTCAAGGTGTGCACAGAATCTGCCCCAGAAGGAAGCCAGGGGAGACAAAGTTCAGTTTAAATCAAGACTCCTGTCTTTCTCTGTCACCACTAGGCAGGGTAACCCCAGAATGTTTCTATTACCCCACCCCCAACACGCCAACATCACCTCTACTTTTGCACCACCTTCTTCCAAGCACCCCAAGAGCCCCTGCCCTGCCCCACCCACAGCCTGCCCCTCCCTACCTACTGAGGAGAAGACCCTGGGATTGCAGTAGTGGAAACGCTTTGAGAACTGGTAGAGGATTCGCTCACGCTCCTGAGACTCTCCGCTAAGCACCAGGGCCTGCAGGAAGCCCCTGACAAGGAAGGCCAAAGTCAAGGAGATTTATATCCAGGATCTAGGGCTCAATTAGATCCCACACTGTCCAGCCTCCTCCCCGGGAAGGGTACAAAGGCAGTACCGGAGGGCGCGGTCCAGGCTCTGGCCTCCAAACTGGAAGAAGGACAAGTACTTCTCAGCCACAGTCTTGCTGAAGTCATTGCTACAGAGGAGAAAGGGGCAAAGCCTGAGGTCCAGGGACTGGACTGGCAGGGACAGACCAAGCAAGGGAAAGGTGAGCCAGGAAGGTAAGGGGCAGCCAGCTTCCTGTCTGCAGCTGGCACCTCCATTGAATATTGAGTAGGTGGAACTCAAGGTGGGCAAGAGGGCAGGGTCCAGCGGCCATTAGCAGATGTGGACAAGAGGTGATACAAGTGTGACCGTGGGAGGGAGTGGGAATGGGGAAGGACTAGACAAGAATAATGGGGTGAGAGGTCAGTGATGGGGCTGTATGGAAACAGGAACAGAGAGGGGTGACCACTGGAGGGGATTCATTGCAACACAGCCTCCAGCCTCACTTGGGCTCAAGGCCCCTTACTTCTTTTGCAGGTATGCAGCCACTTCAGACTTCCGGAATCCCTCCAGGCGATAGAGACGTGAAGCCAAGTTCCAGGCCACTTTGTCATCCCTGACACCATTAGCCAGCTTGTCTCCCGTCTGTGGTCTCTGGCCTTCCTCTGGGGATGGTGCTTGGGGCATGGGGATCTCAGGAAGCCTGGAAGAGTCCATTGGTGTCCTCAGATTCTGACAGGTCCCCCAGTGACACTCAGCATAGACATCAAGGGGCTCTGAGTCCAGTGTCTGTGGGTCAGTCATGGAAGGGCATCCCAGAGTACATATATGTCCAGAGCTCAGGGTCAGAGCTGGAACTCAAGGTGGAGGAGAAGCTGGGGCCAGGACCTCACCCAGGGAAAAGGTAGACTCACAGCCCACCTGACCTGACCTGTCCTGGGCTGGGAACCAGAAGAAGTCAGAGAGGGAAGAGATCTGCCCAGAGCTGAGAGGGGCTCGAACCAAGCTTGATAGCCAGCACTTTCTCGGGTAAACCACAGAGATGTAGGGATACTCTGAGCTTGTTTCTCCTCAGGTAGAGACATCAGCCCTTTGGAGACCTAAATGGTATTGAGTCTGACCCAAAACACATGGGATCACCTCCTCAAACTGCAGCAGGCCATTTGTTCATCTTCCTCACCTGCCACCTTCATAGTGTCTGTCTCCTTGTCCACCTTCCCCACCTCCAGATCCAGTTTCTATCGCTAGACCTGGAGCTAAGAAAAGTGTAAGGATGGGGCCAAGAACCAGAAGCTAGACTGGCTTGAGGAATGGTGACAGCTAGGGGAGGGGAGAAGGGGATTTGAACCTCCACATCCTTATCTAGTAGCTCTGGGATGAAGTTATTCCCTCACTACAAGGGGATTGGATGATGAACCATTACAATTACAAACAGGACTCAGAAAACACTCAGAATCTCAGGAGTCTAACCACTACCTGAATCTTCTCTTTCCTTGGTAACATTACAACCAGGTCTGGCAGTCTCAGATGACACAGTAAGCACGGGCTTACTTGTGCTTACTTATTGATCTGTAGTGAATGATTTCACTTATTTTTTTAACCACATCAAAGATTCTGTTTCTACGTATGGGTGGAATCGGTCTGTCTCGAACGTCACAATGCCTTCTTACAGAATCAAGGTCTCTTTCCAAATTTACAATTCCTGGCAGAGATGGACTACCCATTAAACACAGTAAGCATGAGTTTACTTGTGCTTACCCTGCTTACTGGGAACTCTGCCCTGAGGTCTGGATGATCTTCAGTATCCAAGTTACCAGTTAGGGCAATTAAGCAGGTAAGCAAAAGTCATCAGAATATGTAATTATGCACTAATAATCTGACCACTTATGAAATTCAACTTCACTCAACAGCCCTCTCCACTCAACATGAGTGTCCATTTCAGCCACGAACGCCGAACCCCTCAGCCCATGGCCTTTGCTGATAGCGTCTCACAGCTTCTCTGGGCTCATAAACATCTAACAACACAGGACAGGTATGATGAAAAGGAAGTGAAAAGTAAAAGCAGAAATCTTGTAAAGCAAAACGCAGAATTTCATGAAGTCCATGAAAGTGATACCATAAGAAGGGGTTCTGGTAGCAAAATAGCAGCTCAAATCCACCCAGCTGCTCCATGGGAGAAAAACGGGGTAATCTGAGCAAGTAAAGATCACAGCTTTCATAGTTCTCCTCCTCTGTCTTATTTGGATGCTATTAGTAGGGATCAACAACAACAAAACTCCAATTAAACCTTTTTTGATTGTTTATTATAAAAGTACAGTTCTTACTTTAGGTGGATTGACCTAATGAGCACAATTAAATGTTCTAATTAAGTAACTGGAGTCCTGTGGCATTGTGGGTTAATGCGCTGGACTGCAAAGTTAGTTTGAACCACTAGGTTGGTGGTTCAAGCTCACCAGCTGCTCCAAGGAAACCCTAGACAGGGTCACTAAGGGTCAGAACTGACTCAATGGCACTCAACAACAACAACCCAGACACCTCCTCAACTTCAAAGCAGTCTGTAAGCCCCACATCACAAGCACTGACCTTCCTTACAGGCTGCTTTGAAGTCTTTCTCAAAATTCTGTGGAACCCGTAGCACATCATCTGGCTTAGTAAATACAGTTGTTCGTTGCCAATGAACTGATTTCAATTCAAAGCAAACCCCATGTGTTGTGTTCACAGAAGAACTGCTCGTTACGGTTTTCATTCAAAAAAGATCATGAGGCCTGACCGCCAAGGCTCCTCTGGGTAGGTTTGAACCACCAACCTTTCAGTAGTAGTTGAACACTCCACCATTTGTACCCACTAGGGACTCCTGCTCAGTAAATGTGAGTTAAATCCCAGTGCACGCTCACATGCTGTGTCCAGATCAGGGGAGTCCTAAATGCAGCTATAAATAGGAGCCAGAGGTGGTTAGTCTAACACTTACCCTTCAGTAGGGGTGGGTTGAACATCCAACTGGACAGCTGTAGCCTCTTCAGTCCTGACTGTATCTTCAATCTTTACATCCTCCTCTGGGCTTGTGGCCTCCTTTACCTCCTCTTTATCCAGGGAGCTTGGCTCTGTCCCACTGGTCTCCAAGTGTGAAAGGTATGCAGCATCAAGTGTCCACTTGGGGAAAACGCTGCCCGAGTGGCGCGGGCTCCCCTCCTGGGAAGCCACAGGGCTGGGCCAGGGGCCAGGTCCTCTGCTGTCAGGCTCTGGGCTGCTAGGCTCAGGCAAACAAGCTGGACTCCCCCAAAGGCAGGGGGCTAAGGTGCCAGGGGCCAAATCTTGCAGACATTCAGCATCCCTCTCACCTGAGGAAGAGCACAGGGTGAGGCTAACACACAGGCGGGAGGTGACTGTGGGTCAAGGGGCCTGGCAGAGTCACAACAGTCTGGGCTGCCACCTCCAGAAACTCAGTCCCTAGGGCTCCTCCCCTGGAGCTGGGCAGCGCCTCAGCCCAACTCCTCCCTTGGGCAGTGACCTCTCAGCGCCTCAGCCCAACTCCTCCCTTGGGCAGTGACCTCTCCCACATGGGGAGGCAGCAGACAAAGGATTCCCAGGACTTCAACCCTGAGGTTACCAGGGGTTCAGGACTGTTTTCTGAAGCACTAAGAACTGGGTATTAAAAATGATGGTTCCCTTGCACATTTCTATATTTGCATTATAAGATCAGTATCTTAATACTGATTTTATGGATGAAGTCAGAGAGGCAAAGGCAGGATTTCCCTCACGTCTGTTGGACTCCAGTACACCTGGGCCTCGTATTGACAGCGCTGGACCCAAAGATGATCTTTGTCCCCATTCTAGATTCCAAAGCCTAGCACCACCCAGATTTTCAGCAGACTAATCCCCTCCCCAAAGAATGGGTCTCACCTCTGTCCTGGGAGCTGAGAGGCACCTGGGGCCAGAAAGAAGCTTCCTTAGTCTCCAAGTCCTCAGGGCAGGGTATAACCTGAGGAGAGAGGTGAAGGTGTTTCCAAGAACCCTGGAGACCTAGGGGCAGCAGGGGAGAGGATGGGCAGGGCGTGGGGAGAGGAGGGAGGGAAGATTGACTAGGAGGTACACAGAAGGCCCACCCTTTCCTAGCCTCCTGCCCAGGGCACACTAAAAAGAACCCAGCATGGGAGAGGCACAACATCCTTGGTTGATGTTGGTCTTGGGAATCACTGGTTTCTGTTCCTCTTTTTCACAAATGGAAAAGGTGGAAAGGAAGTGACTTGCCCAAGGTTGTTCAGGGTGAGTGGCAAGGCTAGGATCAGATTTGAAGTCTCTTGACTCCCTGGCCAATGGTTTTTCCACGCAAGATGCTGCAGATGGGGTAAAATCAACCATGTCTCTTGATGAATTCTTAGGGAGAGAAGAAAAGGAGAGGTTTGACCAGAGAGAAATTGCTTCCAGGGCCTCTCCCACATCTCAAAGGCCTCCAGTCTTCTTTACCCACATCCTCCTCCCCTGCAGCCCACCAGTTGGATGTGCCTTCAGGGGCTGCAGTCCAAAGAAAGGCTCTTACAGGGAGGCAACAGCCCCCAGGCACTGGGCTCTGCGATTCCAGAACAAGGTCCTGCGAGAATGAACTCCTCAGGACACAGCAATGACCACTGACACTGCAGACCTGGCTGGCCTGTGGGTTGAGGGGACCTCAATCAGTATTCAGGGAGCTCCCCAGATCTCAGGGCTCATGTGTACAAGACACTCTGGCTAAGAGTGCTTCTCCATTGTTCTGTGGCTCAGGGAGAATAGACAGTCCCTGCCCTCACTGCTGCTTTATCTCTTCAGCAGCGCCCTCCCTGGGAAAACTGTGTACCCTATTGTCCCCATCCCTAGTTGATATGAAGGAAGGATTCCTGCCATTGTCTTATGGGCCTGATCTATTCATAAGGATCTGGGGAGAATGAGAGAGGTTGAGATGAAAGTAACAAAATGCTGAAATCTCTCAAGAGAGGGTAAGACTCCTAAAACAGACTTCACCCATTAAGGAGAGAGGTCACTCTGACCAGCTGATCCCTGCCCTGTTACAGCTGGGAATGCCTTGGAAGTAGGAGGAGCAGAAACTGAGAATGGTCTGGAACAGGCTGCAATCGAAGGAGCTGTTTGTTCTCCTAACGGACCCAGATGTAGCCCTTTGGAGCTGACTAGACGGAGACATTTGAGGACTTAATCTCCATGATATTCAGGTAACGTTGTTGTTGTTAGGTGCCATCGAGTCAGTGCTGACTCATAGCGACCTTATGCACAGCAGAACAAAGCACTGCCCGATCCTGGGCCAGCCTCACTACTGTTGCCACGCTTGAGTCCATCGATGCTGCCACTTGGCCAACCCATCTCATTGGAGGTCTTCCTCTTTTTCTCTGACCCTCCACCTTACCAAACATAGTGCCTTCCAACCTGAGGGGCTCATTTTCCGGCACAATATCTGACAGTGTTTCTCTGCTATTCATAAGGTTTTCAGTGACTAAATATTCAGAAGTAGTTCGTGACTCTTTCTTCCTAATCTGTCTTTGTCTGGAAGCTCATCTGAAACCTGTCCACCATGGGTGACCCTGCTGGTATTTAAAATACCTGTGGCATAGCTTTCAGAATCACACCAATCACAAGCCACCACAATATGACAAACGGACAGGCAGGTAACATTAGGGCATCAATTAAATTTGCTATAATTCTGAAGACCAAACCAGTCCTTATTTTCTGCTACATTACTCCAGGATCCCAAATGACCCTAGCATCTAAAAAGTATGTTCTGGGCCTGGAGACCTCAGAAGATGGTCCTCCCTTATGTGCTGCTGCTCAGCATAACCTGGGTGGTTTCCCAGGACTCAGCTTACCTCACTCTCCACCTGCACGGGAAGTACTATGGGACCCTCCTCAGTGGCGCCGTCTGTAGGCCAGGAGAGGGAGTGTACTTTGTAGATGGGCACAGGGAATGGAGGAGTGGTATACCCACTGGAACCTGCTGTGTCATCCCCCAAATCCAGCTCACTGCCCAGCTCCCAGGGAACTTCACCTCCTGGAAGCGGAGGCTCCTGGGCCTGTGGGCTCTCAGACCCAGTCCTCCCATCCACAAGGGTGTCTGGGAACGCCCAGGAAAAGCACTCTTCAGAAGCGTTGGTCTCAGAGAAAGGGCTTTCCAGAAAGAGGGGATTGTCAAAGAAGAGGCTCTCCTCCTCGGCACCCCACTCTGGAGAAGATCCGGGTGTTTCCTCCCTTGGCCACCGGTGGTTCTCCTCCTCAGGCCCACTACTGTCTTCTCCCATGTCCTCCTCCACAGGTGGGGACCTGGGGTGGATGTCCGAATCACCGGGACTCTCTGGGCTGGAGGGAAAGGTGGGGAGGTCCACAGGAGATGCAGGGAGACAGCATCTCAGCTCAGCTCTGAGCCCTTCTGTCTTCTCTAGTTCTTCTTCCAGGTCGAGCACACACATCTGGGCCTGCAAGATGCCAGCCCAGAACATGACCTGGGCGGAAGTGCTCTGGTTCCGCTGTGGGCTCCCCTGCGATTGGTTGTCCTGGGGCGACCCAGGGGGTGTTCTCTGCTCGTGTTGTTCCTCTTGGGAAGAGCAGCTCTCCAAATGTGTGGGCTCTGTGTTGGAACCTGTGGGGACATCTTGCTTACTGGAATCCAGAGGGTCAAGGGCCCAGGTTTGTTCCCTGCAAGATCCAGGAGATTCCGGTTGGCTGCTCGGTTCCCTCGGGGGCACTTGTGGGTTGGGCTGCAGGTTATCTTCCAAATAGATGTTGAGAAATTCTGCGGATTTGGGGTGATCAGAGAATCCGTCGTCACCCATCATCCACAGAGCTAAAGCTGTAGAGGAGCCCTCAGAAGTACCTGCTTTCACAAGCCCATTGTGTAGATGAGGGTGTGCACTGGTCAGGGAAGTCTCTGGGAATCCATGTCTATCCTGGAAATGACCAAAGCAAGTCACATTAGGGGTTGTCAAAGCAGGGCCATCTGCCCCAGGAAGCCCACTCTAGTGTGTTAGACATGCTTTGGCGTGCCTCCCACATTCATGATCTATGCTAAGGGACTCTGACCGCCAGAGCCTTTGCCATACATGGAATCAACTCCATCACCTCAAAGACTTGCATCAGACTGGTATCTGCCCCAAAGGGAGTCCACCTGTTGGCTGGAGTGGCTTAGCAGGAAAAAATGAACTGGCCAACTGCAACACTTCTCTGGGGAATTTGGATTGGAAAATTAAAAGAATGGGGTGTGGACAAAAGGTAAAAATGCCTCAAGGCTATGTGACAGTGGTGCCAAGTCAAAAACCACATGCAAACCAAAGTATGTAGGAGTCCAAAAGACAATCTAAAAGCAAGGAGAAGAGTAGACACACCAGAGAAGGAGGCACAAGGAAAGGATGGCTACAGACTGCCTGAGTGTACATACTTCCCAAGGCTCCTGGTCTTGGGACATATCCCAATCACATGGCTAGCACACTGGCCTCTGTTTCTTGCAAGTAATTAACAGTTGTGCAGCATGTCCAGGATGGAAGGAAAGGCTCTAGGAAGGCAAGCCCCAGCCTCAGGGAGTGTGGGCACATCAGCTCTGCTTCCTGGGGAAGAGACCGTGCCTTCTGGGGAGGGGCAGGGAGACTGGTGACAGGCACCATGGCTGCCTGGAACAGCATCATTGCATCATATTGACTTGGAGCTGCCCTGTGTGTTGGCCACACTATTGGGGAACCTCATCAGAAGCAGATGGCAGCAGGTTATTTTCTCTAAGTACGCAGCACATGGCAGAACCGGCTTCCATGGTGATGATGGTTCTCCTGGTTCAGGCCCAGGGCTGGCCTGTTTCTTCAGGTTGGTTTATATCCAATGAACATTATGTAACTCATAACTCAGCCTGTTTCCTTCGTGTTGAAGGCTGTCAGAAAGCACAGGGGTAAACTTCTACCAAGTATACAGACTCTTATCCCATGTGTTTTCAGTATTAAATGTATCCCTGGCTTCTTCCTATTTTTTTCATCTTTTTTACTTTCTTCAATTAATATTTCTATCTGTACTGTGTGTACATGTGTGTGTGTGTGTAAGTTTTATCACAATCTTTTGGGGAGCAAGGGCATGGACACACACTCATGCTCCCAAAGTATAGCCATGTGTGATGTTCTAATATCAAACACAACAGAAACTTCCACATGGATATCTTTCCTGTTGCTTAGTGCCATCGAACCAGTTCCGACCCATAGTGACTCTGTATGGGGTTTCCAAGGAGCAGCTGGTGAGCTTGAACTGCTGACCTTGAAGTTCAAACAGACCTTGCCGTCCAGCACAGTAACCCTGAGTGCCACACCCAGGACTCGATAGTTCTCCTAGCCCCTCCTTATCCAGCACCCATCCAAATTCACAGCAGCCCTGGGAGGTAAGTAAAACCAAATCAGTGAACCTGTTGCAATTAGCCTGTGGTGATCCCATGTGTTAGGAGAATTACTCCCTAGGGGTTTTCAAGGGTTGTCATCCTACAGAAGATCACCAGGCCTTTCTTCTGCAGTGCCAGATGAACTAGAACTAAAACCTTTTGGTTATTAGTCAAGTGTAAACCATTTCTGCCACCCAGGTGCCTGGAAGGTCAGCAGGCATTGATCTTGTCCTTGATGTCACAGACAAGGAAGCCTAAAAATCCACAGGTGGCAAGAAACAGGTCTGAATCTGACCCTAGACTGCCCAACTTCCAGTCTCTAGCTCTTCCCGCACCCAGCTCTGCCTCAGGCACCTGCAGCAGCCGAGCCCCTTCTGAAAGTATCTGCCTCTAATATGAAGCAAGAGTTATCCCAGAAACCTTCCCTATCCCCAGATCCCCTCACCACCATGACTTCCAACTGAGTTTGTAGGTGGACCATGGCCAGTCCTAGCCTGCCATCCTGACCAGCACACATTAAGAGACGCAGGGCGAGGAAGGGGGGAGGATTGTAACCATGGCAATAAAACGATGTACGATAGGATGAATGTAAAACTAATGTTCTGCCATGTAAAATATCACATAATTCACAATAAAACAATAAAAATAAAATTAAAAAAGAGAAAGACTCAGGGAGAAGATTCCTTACTGTCTACAGTAAAGAGCATGTGGCTGAATGAATGACCAGATGGGTGTGAGCGCCATCTCTTGCCCTGCCAATTATTAGCTGAAGGAGTAAAGTTGGAAAGTTACTTAGTCTCTCAGAACCCAACCCCATAGGGGTGGCTGGAGGTTAACCAAGATGATCTGTGTCCAGGTTGGCACATTGTTAGACAATCAATAAATGGTAACCCTTAAGAGCTTTCAAGCCAAGGTCAAAGCAACGTCAGTCAGGTGGGTTCTACCTCCTGTTTAAAGACACCTAGATGATAATCACTTTGCACATGCCTTCTGTCAAGAGGGTGATGAAGAGAAATGAGGCAAAACCACAATGAATTCCCCAGAGTCCCTGGGTGGCCCAAATGGTTAACACCATCAGCTACATCCCCTTTGATTTCAAACTCTCCCCAGGCTTCCCTGGTGGGGAAGAAGCAAAACTCAACAAAGAAGTAAAACATCTTATTACTCCAGCCTTTTCCAGTAACCAGCCCATGGTGTTGCCATTCAGATAAGATTCCAACTCACAGAGATCCTATTAGAATTGCACCATGGGGTTTTCTAAGCTGTAATCTTTACCGGAGCAAATCACCAAGTCTTCTCTCTTTCAGATCCACTAGGTAGGTTCAAACTGGTGGCCTTTCAGTTAGCAGCCAAGCTTTAGCCATTGCACCACCAGGATTCCTCAAGCAGTGCATTTGTTGTTGTTGTTAAGTGCCATTGAGTTGATTCTGACCTCTAGTGACCCTGTATAGGTTTCTAAGGAGTGGCTGGTGAGCTTGAACCACCAACCTTGCAGTTCAAATGACTTTGCAGTCTGGTGCATTAACCCACAGCACCACACCAGGACTCCCAACCAGCCCATAAGGGATAAGAAATGACTAGGAAGATATCTCCTCTGTTAGAAGTTACACGTGACAGGTGGGAAGAAGTACCAGGTTTCAGGTATCCAAACATGGGACAGCCTGGTCTCCTGACCCAGATGTCAAGCTCCAATTCCCTTGCTCTTTCCCTTACTGCCCATTGTACTAAGCTTTCTCCTCTTCGTGGTGACCCCTTCTACTGCCCCACTTCCCCACACTTCCACACGCTGTAACAGAATGTGTGCCCATCTCAGAAGCACGTTCCTCTGGGCATCAGAATCATTTTGCCAAGCACACATCAACTCACCACTCTCATCCATGAGTCCACTTGTCACGGGAATGGGAATGGTGGGGAGCCGGGACCAGGAAGGAAAGGGCATTCTGCAATTATTTTTATAGGACTGGAGGTCAGGAGTTCCTCTTTGTAAACAAGGACGGATAAAAACATACATATAAGTAAATAGAGCAGCGATACAGGAAATACTAATGACTAGGCTAGACAATGTGCACTGGATTTACCTTCCTGAAGAAGTCAGGTGCTCCTCAGCGGACTCACCAGGAGTGAAAAACAGAGACGCTGCAGCCGTTTTCCAGAGACCAAAGAGAAGAGAGCAGATTTCTGAGGCCTGAGGAGCCCCTGGGTGGTGCAAATGGTTAATGCACTCGGCTGCTAACCAAAAGAGTGGAGGTTCAAGTCCACCCAAATGTGCCTCAGGAGAAATGCCTGGTGATCTACTTCCAAAAAAATCTGCCACTGAAAATTCTATCACAGTTTTAGACTGACACACATCGGGTGGCCATGAGTAAGAATAATGGGGAAGTCTGAAGAGCTTGAGAAGGGAAAAGGAAGGGTGGGGACTGGGGAATGGCGAGGTGCCCAAGGCAATGGGAGGAGAGAAAGGGGCTATATAGACAAGCAGGCAGCCTTTGATGGGGGCCAAAGTATGCAGTTTGACTGGGCCAGGAGGCTAGAAACCAAGTAACTTCAGCCTGACTACATTCCATCCCTCACTTATTCCAGAGCATTTATGGACATGTGTAATCATCACGTGCATCTAGTCACATGGTCTAGTTTGCACCAACCCCCAGCCCTCCTTCTCCCCCTCCTCCAGGCTTTTTGGGCTTCACCACTGTCTCAGTAAGTAAACAATAAATGGATGGCTTAATCACGTCATGTGGCTACCACCTACAAAATTCTGGGAGGCATATGGTTATGCTTAAGTGGATTAAAAAGCTGACTTGAGAAGTTGAGGCTTACCTATGAGTCACCTGTGATTATAGCATTAGAATCTGGTTGGGGATGGTCCCAGTTCCAGGCAGTGAGCTGCACAGTGTGGCATACAACCTCATGGATGGATTGATTGCCAGCTTTAACAAATAAATATATAAGGTGTCTGATTATTTGGAACATGCTATTGTTGTTAAGTGTATTTGCATTGGTTCAGACCTTGTACTGAGTTTCCAAGGTGCAGATGGTGGGTTTGAACAGCTGACCTTGCAGTTAGCAGTCCAGTGCTAATCCTATAGATCCAAACCAGAACTCCATTTGGGACATAGTTATACTCAATATTCACTGTGTATCCTAAATTCAAATTTAAGCGAGAATTCTATATTTTATTTGGCAACCCAGTCCCATAGAGAAGGCGTAATAAAATATGCCAGTTAGAGAATGCAGCTCTTTAAGGCCCTAAGCTCAACAAGCTTGCTAACCCCAAAAGGAGGCAAGTGGTAATACCTTCTTCTCAATCGGTATGGAAGTTAACACCCAGAGCATTTCAGAAACTTGCCCAAGGTGGTTCAGCTAGTAAGTGGAGGAGCTAGATCTTGAACCCAAGTCTGCTACTCTTAAGCACCTCTTAAAAATAAAAAA